CCTGCAACTACCCCTTTGTAACAGAAATAATAGAGGATGGGGCAGAGGGACTTGGCGGTGAAATTTTAATATGAATTGAAATTATTAATTTTCCGCATCCTAGCACAAATCTAAGTTTCCAATTAAGGGCAATCAGACTTTTTTGGCTTTAATTATCTCAAAGGAAAATTGGGTTTTCAATTGAACACATGTTCATGGAAAATCTCTGCTATCCTCCATATGTATTTTGTTTTTCAAGGATAGCAGAGGCTAAAACTATTCAGTTTTCAACAGCTCTTACCTAAAATTACCTTGTTCTCACTTCCCAGAATGACAAAAAATGTTTGGCTTTTCCCAATTTCAATGAAAAGTCTATTTTTGCTGCTAGAAAAATTTACAAATAAGTCAGTCTGACTGGTGCCAGATTAAATTGATAGTAAAAGTCTTCAAGAGTTCTGACTCTCATGCGAATTTGTGTTCTTAAATCTGCCCTGTGTATTAATACACCAACATATTCAGTTGAAAAAGCAAACTTACGATGCAGATTTTTGTGGAATTTCTCACAGCTAGCGAAGCATTTGATCCTCCAGGGTTGTGATTATTTTGTCATTATTGATCTGTCTGTCTCTCATGCCCCCATCACTGTATTAGCCCACAGCCCTTTCCATGTCCTCCACTGGAGTTGCTGGGTCTCTCTGCAGTGCCCAGCAGACAAGGATCCATTCCACAGATGGATGCTCCCTGCTCCCCTCCTGGCCGAGAGGAGATGGACTAAATAGGATGAGGGACTGAAAGCCCCTCCTATCTCTAGAGCTGATCCCAGCTTGTGCAGGCTCCAGAGATGGTCACAGTGCAGGATGTCCCTGCTCTGGGGCTAAATGTCTGAATATGGTCTCCAGGGCTGTGAACCCAGCTCTGCTCTCAGCTCTGGAGCAAACCACCCTGACAACGGGCCCTAGCTGAGCCCAATCCCCAAGAGGGGAACAGCACCTGCCCTGGATCTCACACAGTGGTAGCATCCCTGGAAGGACCGTTGGCGAAAAACAAGGCAGAGCTGAGGCACAAAGGGTGCCCCGAGGGGTTGGCAGAATAAAATATATATTTACTGTAGCATCCTGTGACCTGGAATAGCTCAGAGCCCAGCAGCACCAGAAACTCTACTGTCCTGGAATAGCCTGTTCCTTCATTAACGCCACATCATTACCGCTGCCGGAGCAGGAAATTTTGTTCTCCAGCATGAACAGCTCTTGGGATGCAGCCATCAGAGGAACCCACAGCTCAGCCTGCCCTGGTTGGTTGAATTAAGTTATTAAGAGGAATCCAAAAGCACATACTAAAAACTAAGGACCAGATCCTCAGCTGGTGTGTATTGACAAAGTTCCACTGTCTTTGTAGTAGCTACGGCTATTTTCACCAACTGGGGATCTGGCCCTTTGATTCTGATGGAGCAACGGCTGATTTACTCCAACTGGGAAACTGGCCCATTACACAGTTTTAAATCAATTAAATACAGCTTTAAATTCTTTGCCTGTGAGTTTAAACCGATGAGTCACAAGTACCGGACCTGTTTATTCATTCTTAGTTCTTTGTCCCATGGGATTAATTACAAGAATGTAACTTTTAAAGGTTATGTTGTGATTCATTCCCACCAGGGCAGAACTTTGGAGGAATTCAGTGCTGCTAAGATTTTCTCTATCTGAGCTTCACTTTGTATTGGGATGAATGATCCAACTTGTCTTTCCTTTCACCCCTGCCCTGAGAGAGCCCTGTGCAGCCCCCTCCCCATCACACCCTACCCTCAATGACCCCTGTGCAGCCCCTCCCCTTCATGCCCTGCCCCAATGACCCCTGCCCGGCCCATTCCCATCCACACTCTGCCCTCAGTGACCCTTGTGCAGTCCCTCCCCTTTACACCCTGCCCTCAGTGACCCCTGTGCAGCTCACTCCCCATCGTATCCCTGGTCCCATCCCCATCCTGGCTCACATACAATATAACAAGGGGAAATCTCCACTTTGGACACGACACCTCTGCCATCCCCACCTTGCACGTCCCAACTTTTGCAGTCAGCCCTGCATCCTGGAGGTGACTCAGCCCCCTCTTCACCTGGGACACATGGTCCTCCCAGGTCTGGCTAATGACACCAATATAATCCATGTACGGTAGGGTAAAATTCCCCATCCACCTCAATAACTGATTCATCTGGTGCTGGCAGGTGACTGGTGCCTCCTTGAGGCTGACAGGTAGGACTAGGGACTTGTACAGCCCCAGAGGGGTGACAAAAGCAGGTTTCAACCTGGCATCTGGATCCAAAGGCACCTGCCAGTAGCCTTTGGTGAGATCCCTGGTCATGAGGTACTGAGTCTCCCACCCACAACTTATCTAGGATCTCATCAGGCCTAGGTATGGGCAGGCACCAGATATTGTGATGGCATTGAGCTTCCGGTAGGCCACAGAGAATCAGATAGACCCGTCTTTCCTGGGGACCAGCACCATGGGAGAGGCCCCCATGGCCATGAAGACCCATGAGCTCAGCGAGCTTTCCCCGGAAAGTCAGCACATGCTCCACCACTGATTCTCCACCGGGGGAGGCCTTCCCCTCCCACTAGTCCCTCACCAAGCCCAGGGCCACCTTCTGAACAGGCTCCTCTAGGACAGGCACCCAGCCCCTTAGCATCTCATGAGGCTGCACCACACGGGGCCTGACAACAGTTCTCTCTGTCCCTGGATCTCGCCATCGCAGGAATGTCTCCCCATTGACCACCACCTTCTGCTCCCACTGTGGGTCTGAGGGTCCTGAGCCCAGGAGACTCCAGACAGACATATATGCTGGGGCTGGGACTTAGAGCCAGTCGGCCACCCCACCCATATGGCTTAACAGCTCTATGGCCTTGGGACCCAGGAAGGGGGCTAGATGCCGGAGCCTTTCCTCAGGGCCAGCCTGGTTCCAATTGCCAGCCTTCCCAAAGGCCGTGAGACAGGCATCTATAGTTTCCCCCAGGGCCGGCTCCAGGCACGAGCTTAACAAGCAGGTGCTTGGGGCGGCCAAGGGAGAGGGACGCCTCTTTTTTTTAGAAGATATTGATTTTCATGGATTTCTCATTAGGCAAAATCATTCTTAGAATAATTTCAACCAGCAGTTCTCAGTGTCAAAGCCCCAGCTGGTGGAAGTCATGGAGTGAGATGCACCCATTTCCTCCAGCTGGGGATCTGGCCCATTTACCCAGATGGAGCTATGTCTTATTTCCACTGACTGCTTTTTTTCTTTATACCCAGGTTCTGGCCCTCAGTCTATTATTCATTTCTGAGCTGAGATTCTCATGAGCATGAAGGATTTGAACTCATTTGACCAAACACACATTTCATATGCCACATACATCTGCTCTCTGATACGTCCCTGAGGTCAGGTTTTTATCACAAATGGACAATGAAAGATAAATTATGTCTCTATCTCCCTCCCTGAGCACAGCGTTCTGCTCATCAGCCTCCTGATGGCCTTCTTCATCTCGGCATTTCTCAGCGTGTAGATCATCGGGTTCAGCATTGGGGTGATTGCAGTGTAAATGACTGAGATCACCTTATTCAGGGTGAAGTTCTTGAAGAGCCGAGCATAGATGAAGATGCTGCGTATGATTTGTAAACATACCACGATAATCTGGGCTACACAGGTGGACAGAGCTTTCTGCTTCCCATCCGTGATGTGTGTCCTGATCTTGACTAAGATGGCGGTGTAAGAAACAAGCAGAATGATGAATATTATTATAATCGCTGCTCCATTGTTGAAGATCATCTGCAGTTCAGCCAACTGAGTGTCAATGCAGGCCAGTTGGATGACCTGTGGGACATCACAGTAAAAATTGTCCAGGACGTTCGGCCCACAGAACGGTAACTGGAAGAGCAGTCCAATCTGAACAGCAGAGTGGGCCAATCCCCCCAGCCATGCCAGTACCATTATCCCCACGCACACACGCTGGTTCATGATAGTCAAGTACCGCAGTGGTTTATAGATGGCCACATACCGATCAATTGCCATCCCCACAAGGCAAAACCCCATAGTGCCAGCAATGAAGTGGAAGAAAAACATCTGGAGAATGCACTCATAGAATGAAATGGTTTTAT